CCATAAACAGAAGGCGAAAGCTGAACTCAGAGCAGATGAGGATGATTCCCCGTGTGGACAAAACCTGAGGATCCTCACTTGTAGTCAGGCTGAGATTATCTGAGGCAGTCTGTAAACAGAGATGCTTAGTTTTAGGGTGTTGTCAGTAAAAGACCTGCATGCACCTGCTTTTATATGGCTGTTAATCTGGTCCTCAAAACCAGGGTTTGTAAAGAGGAAGTTTGTACCATGTCTATTTCATTTGAAGGATTTTTACAGCTTACTTCCCTCAGGAAATACTAAGATCTGCTGAATATTCTCTATTTTTAAGAATTTATTGCTTCTTTAAAGACTAACTCCCAAATTATGGGGTGTAATGTTGTGAACTGGGTATAAAACCAGTGGTTGGGTTGACACATAAGTCGGTGTGTGTCTGTCCATGTGTATTTTATTAATATTACATAAGAGGGTTTCAACATGGAGGCAGGTTAAGCAGTTTTCCACCAAACAGAGCTGCTTTTTATATGGTGGGATGAAAGTTTATTATTCCACTGGTTTATGAGCATTTGGATGGATTTGATGAAGTTTTTTTTGTAAAAAAGTCACTCTATTTTCTTTATTTCTTTATTTTTGCACTGTACACATAGACACATCTTGTTGTCATATGATGTCAATACAGTAATATTTCCAACAATACACATATTGAGTGTAAAAACAAAATTGAGTTACCCTTTAAGATTCAAGGTTATTTTATTGTCATTTACTACATAAGGTTGTAAATTTAGATAAAGTCCCCTTTAGGCTACTTTTAATAAACTAATAAATTATTGAGTCATACAAATAATAAATAAAAATTACTAATTTGTATGATGAATTGTTCAGGAATAATTTAAAAGAATTTTGTACAACACTAATACATTATTTTACTATTTATTGGGATAATTTAAATAATTTAATTAATAAAAAATATATATGAATATATATTATATATTTTGGGTTTACATTGTTTGACATGTATGGTGTATTATATTTGTGCTCTCTTTATGTTTGTTGCTCTTGTTTGTTATGTTTGTAGTGTCTTGTAAGTCCATGTGGGCCGGGCACATTTTGGTTCATATAAAAAAAATAATAATAAAAACATTTAATAATGTGCAATAATCTACAGTGTTCCTGTACAATACATCAGGAGAAATGTGGATGTTGTAAAGTTGTAGCAGACAAAATCAGGGGGAGCCCAACTGTTCTCCTTTCCGGATAATGCTTTATGACATGTAAATAATGTATCTCTGGAGAAATGAGTCAAACAAATATGAATGAGACCAAACACTTCAGGTAAGGGGAGGAACATCCCAGAGATGTTGCTCACTGAAGATATTTTATAATTAGAAGAACAGAAGTCTAAAGCTTGGTCAATGCGTTTGGCTGATGAACACATTCTTAGGTGAGAGGAGTGCTCTTTTATTCTGTATGTTGGTTTTATACTCAGTTACAGTGCAAATAGTCTGTTTTTTATTTCTACAAGATAATATATTTTGTC